AAATCAGCAGTAAAATCAGCAGTAATCAGCAGTAAAATCAGCAGTAAAATCAGCAGTAATCAGCAGTAATCAGCAGTAAAATCAGCAGTAGTGTCACATTATTTCCACAACTTCTGTTTTTCTCTGTTGCAACAGAATTTGCATCCTGTTGGTTTTTCTTTTGAATTGTTTCCCACTGAATCACCCGTAGGGAACTTTTTACTTTGTACTTTGTATTTTAATTGATTTTTTAAATTGTTGTCTGTATTTTATATGTTGTCTGTTTAAAGCAGGTCTCTCTTGTAAATGAGTCCTCGTGACTCCATGAGACTAACCTCCATAAATAAAGGTGAAATCAAATAAAGCCTGGCTCTCAGAGCAGCACAGACACAAGACAAGTCATGTGAACGTGTGAACATGTGAACGTGTGAACATGTGAACGTGTGAACATGTGAACGTGTGAACATGTGAACGTGTGAACAGAACCTGGTCATGTTTGTGTTTCTGCGGGTCGAGTTCATTTTGTCTGAAAGTTTATTTCCACGATTTCAGAAGAAAACTTGGATTAAGTTTGCCGTGAACGTTTCTTGTAGCTTTTTCAGAATCTGGGACGTAAACACGACTTTTTGAGCAACAGGGCGTACGGGGGGGTGTGTGTGTGATGAGCTGAGTCCGACCTTTGACCTTCACGCCGTGCGACCTGCAGCTAAAGTTACTTGTGACCTTTGATCACGCTACAAGAAGATGATCACACAAACGTCTCTACGTCTCCATTCCTTGTGTTCGACGTCACTTTGATATCTTGTCTGATTCCTCAATAAAATTTTATAACGCCTCTTTCTAATTCATTAAACGACTGCTGTGTGTGCAAACTGACGGTTTCCATCCGTGCACATGAACACGGGCACATTAAGAGACCGTTACTGAGCCGGCACATCTCTTCTGTTAATTATCTCAGTTTGTTACTGAGCTGCCAGTAAAGTCAAATTCAGCAAAAAGAAGATGACTCATAGATTAGATCATCTTCATTAGATCATCTTCATTAGATCATCTTCATTAGATCATCTTCATTAGATCATCTTCATTAGATCATCTTCATTAGATCATCTTCATTAGTTCATCTTCATTAGATCATCTTCATTAGATCATCTTCATTAGATCATCTTCATTAGATCATCTTCATTAGATCATCTTCATTAGATCATCTTCATTAGTTCATCTTCAGAGAAATGAGTTTAAAACAAAAGTCAACTGGACGTTTCTTACTCTTAAAGATGTTTCCTCTCATTTTAAATGTGTCTTCAGTCCTGATTGTCTGATGCCAGCTGCTTCCTTACAGGTTTATTCATAACTGATAGAAACAAGATTAAGTTCAGCTCATTTATATTTAAATGTTTGTCCTGGAAACACCTGAACATTTTTAATTCAGCTCACTCAGTAAATTCAGTCTGCAGGACTGAGCGCTTGCAAATTATTGTCCATTTTATAGGATCACTGACCCAAACAAGTCAGAGACATTTAAGGCAATCTTAATGTGTTGTTCAAAGTTTTGTAAAGTTTGAAACTTCTGAGGTTCAGAGGTCAACATGAGCAGACGGGTCTCTGCAAACATTTGCACTGAACCCTTAAAAATAAAAACCTGACCAAACTAAAAAAATGTGTGAGGAGCTTCAACCCCCACGATGCAGATCATGTGCACTCTTGCCTCATAATCCTAAAGATAATCAATCTGTTCTTGTTAAAATTATTATTTCAACCTTTTATTATTGTCATTAATCCATCATGGGGTGCCCAGTCAACTCTGCTTGTTTAGGCAACAAATGATTTAAATTGAATATTAAAATAAATAATATTGCAAAAACCCAGCTTTTTATGTGTCATCCGTTTATGAATTACTTTTTATCTGTGTATTTGGTGCAAAACTGCTCTTTTGCAACATTTAAACACAAAAGTACGAGAGAAGGTGAAAGAGTTTGTTTCCGGCTGTAACAATTCTTCATCCTTCCTCTTATTGTAAAACACAGGATGAGATGTTTTAATCTCTGGGAGCCATGTCTCATGTTGGTATCTGCTCTCAGTTTTACAGTAACAGCAGTTTAGAAAAAGAAAGAACACTAAATAAATAAATAAAAACGAGCACATCGTGGTGTTTCCCCAAAGAGGACACGGTGTACAGCGGTCCACAGCTGCTCTTCATCCGCTCCGTGGATCTTTGTTTCTGTCTCTCTTCAAGGTTTAACAGCAGAAACTGTCACTCGGTAAAAACTGACATTTTATCTTTTTAAAACCGCTGTCATCGCTCTTTTCTTGAGAGAGCCTCGTTTCACGTAAGTACAATGACCGTTCATCGTTTTTATCGTGTAGTCGTGCATCATCTTTCAAATTCACTAAACCCGCATTGGTTTAGGTGTTTAAATCAAACTTCTTTATTAAGAAATGGTTGTTATTTTAAAACGGATCATTATCGTTAAGAAAAAATAGTAATTTCTTGCCGATTGACTCGCTAATGAATCTAATGGGTTGTTTTCGGTCGGGGCCTTTTTCGTTGTTGCACCGATCAGATTGTAGTTTGTTCATGGATTTAAGTAATCTAAAATGAAGCTTGGTAACGGTGAAAAGGACTACAACTCCCAGCACAAGAAAAAAGAAGAGGAAAGTCTGTACGAGGCATTTACAGTACGTGCTGGAAATCCGATATTATTCAATCGTGTCCCTAAAAGATTGATGAAATTTAAAATTTTTACCTTTTTTTGTAAAGATTAAACTCACTATACACAACTGCTGAATATGGACGTAAAATACAACATTTAAAAACAATGTATTGCCCACATTTTTGTATAATTTTGTATAATTGCTCCCTCTTCAAAAATATAACACATATATACCGTATTTGCGTTACATTCTCTAAAGGATGTGTATGCGCTGTGTTTTGTACCGTTTGCTTAGTATTTACTTTGAAAACTTATGTAAAGTATAATTTATTTTTGTGAACGGGGAAAAAAACGAAGTTTTTGAAGGCACCATCTTTTTGTGCGCACAGCTTTTACGTACGGCTGACGTCATCTTTTAAGGACGTGAGCCGCTGTTTGTTTGAGTCGATACAAAAAAAATAAAATAAACGTTGATAATGTCGGCTAGTAATAATTTATCAGAATGCACTTAAGACCAAACGCAAAATATGACTCTTCCCCTCGTGAAGACAGGTAATGTCAGCTAACTGCTCGGAGTTGATCAATTATTAGTTTGTTACCGGCTCGTTTGTTTCGTTGGACTTTTTGTTCCAGTGGTCGGCCGCTGTTCTAATTTCAAACTGCACGTTAATAAAATGTCTAAATAGCGAATTATTAATATTTGAACCTGTCGAATTTAAACCTGATACATTTTATAATGGCAACGTATGTATCTGTAAAGTTAATGTTTTTATAGATTTTGAAATAGCTTGTGATACACAATGAATAAAACAAAGTTTAAAGTTGTTTTACTCCAAAATATGTTCTTTACTTTTTATTTAGTTTAGCAAAGTGTTTTTTAATAGTTGCATGATAATAACTGAAGACTTCAGTGAACATGCAGTGCTGAAAGACTTACTAAAAGTAAAATAGAATTGGACAAAAACCAAGCAGATTTCAAAATGAATGTTTCTGAAGGAAGTGACGAGGTCTCGATGTATTTCAAGTTATTTTAAAATTAAAAGTTACAAACCAAAAGTCATAGCACGTGTATTTTGATTGAGCTAAACATTTGGATATTTGAAGAGCTAAAAAAGCACAAAGTCTGAAGAAGATCACAAAACATCAACTGAAAATTAAACAGGCAAACGTGCTGAACCAGCATTTATATCTTTGTAGTAAAGTTTTAATTTAGAATCTGTAATTTACTGCGATAAATTCCCTGAACAGTCTTTTTTTTTTTTGGTCTTTCCTTCAGAAATGGATAAAAGCTTTAAAATCGGACACATTAGAAGCTTCAACTGCAGAACCTGTAACATTCTTGCTTCGTTCTTTCTGAAGTTCTTCTGTCTCTCGTTGCAGCCACCTCATGTTCCTTCGCGGTCTGAGCTCTTTTAGTTCCTCCTTCCATCCTCGAGGACCTCCTGCTCTCTGTTGCACCAACATCAGGAGCAGTGCTGCCTTTTCCTCCTCCAACCCGCCACGATTCATTCGTGCTTCTCCTCCATGGTGGCCTGTACAGGGGCTTCCAGCCTGGCCGCCTCCGCTCAGCCACCCTCACCCGTCTGCGCATCAGTTCCTCACTGGCAGGACGTTCCAGGCCCTAAACTTGAGCAGCGGTAGCTGGCGTTCACTTCACACCTCTACGGGTCGAATGATGGAGCGTCCTGAAAGAGAGCCTCCGAACAAGCGGTGGAGGAGCGAGGAGAAGACGGGAGGACACATAGGAGCATCGAGTGAAACAAGAGGCAAGGTTGGAGAGTCCAGGAGGGACTACAGCCTTCAACCAAAGCCCCACTTCAAAAGAGATCTAGAAAAAACAACCGGCGCAGGTGACAGGTCTGCCAGCAGAGAGAAAGATGCTGAAAAGACTGAAAGTGAGAAAAAAGGCAGAAGAGATGAATCTCCAAATCAACACTCTCATCCTGCTGGACCCAGGACTCAAATCCCCAAATCCAAACTTGAGCCAGATCTGGTTCCAGAACAAGAACCAAACCCCTGGTTTAAAGGAAGAGCTGCAGAGGAGCTTGGTGCTCCTCAGAGGAGTAAAACCGGGTCGAGAGAGCAGCTGAAGGGCGGAGGAGGCGATGAGGCACAGTGGCCCGGGCTTTGGTCGAAGTCTTCCAGCTCCGGTCAAAGCCCAAACTCGAGGCAGGCGACTTGGGCCCCCAGACCGTCTCCTTCACACGAGATCTCACTTCCTGTCAAACGTACGTTACACTTGTTTTATTTAGTGCTACAGTTTTACAAAGCACCAAACAGTTTCAAGCTAAATGGTGATTAAAACATAAATGTTATGTTGTTTATTTGTCATGTGCAGGTTCACACAGAGTCAACGATACAGTGAAATGTTCAGGATGAGAAGTCGTTTAAAAAAAACAAACCCACAAGAAATACTAAAGCAATAAAAGTACAGAATAAAATACCAGAAAGTGAAAAAGAAATATAAGATTTTCAAGGGCCAAAAGAATTCTAGTAAACAACAACATGGTAGAATATAACGGTGAAAGTAGGATGAGTTATTATAAATGAGTATTTCACAGGTACTAATATTAGCTTAAATGTACATGATATATATTGAACATGAACATAAACTACACAGGTTGTTGCACAGATAGTGAAGAACATTGACTAAACACTTTTGAAAATATATCCACCATCACCTTTCTTTCTGGGCTGTGAGTGTCACTGGTGTCCATGTCCAGCCATCGCTGTGCGAGAGGCGGGGGACAGGTCTCCAGTCCATCACAGGGACACCTGGACAGGTCTCCAGTCCATCACAGGGACACCTGGACAGGTCTCCAATCCATCACAGAGACACCTGGACAGGTCTCCAGTCCATCACAGGGACACCTGGACAGGTCTCCAGTCCATTACAGAGACACATCGAGACAAACAACCATTCTCTCACTCTCACCTAGGGATAATTTAGTTACCAGTCAGCCCAACATGTTGTTGGTCTGTGGGAGGAAACTGGAGTACCCAGAAAACAACGTGCAACTTTGTAACCTGTGCATGTCTTTTTTATTTCTATCTTTTGTTTAGAAAGTAAAACACTTTCCTGAGAGTTAAATCTTTTTCTTTCTGTTCAGCTCTTCAGAGATTCTGGGAAAGCTGCAGTACTGAACCGCGGCCACCAGGGGACAGCACACTGTTTGACTTCTCAGTGATGTCCTACAACATCTTGTCTCAGGAGCTGCTGCAGGACAATGCCTACCTGTACGGACACTGTGAGCCCAGCGTGCTGCCCTGGGACTACCGGCTGCCCAACCTGCTGACCGAGATCCTGCAGCTCAACGCTGACGTGAGTGGGTCAATTGTAGGAAAACTTGAAAAACAGCGCTTCATAGAGCTTCAGGAATTCTGCTGAAAACATCTCAGATATCAGTAAAACTTCCAGGGCCTGTTTTGTCAGCACCAACAGTCACGTCGTCATGAAGTTTGAGGCCCACGGTGCAGTTTGTATCGTGTGCCTGCTTGGAGAGAAATTAATCTCACACATTTGTTTTGAACATGCTCAAAGTTCAAGAAACCAGATTGTGAGCTTCTGGGATGCAAAGAACACTAACCCTTCACTAACGTCAAAGAATGTCAGTTTGATTTATATCAAGAAAAACTGTGTGTGTGTGTGTGTGTGTGTGTAATGGTAAAATAACTTTATTTTAATAATTGTCAGAGAAAAATCAATTAGGCCTCAGTGAGGTTTGAACTCACGACCCCTGGTTTACAAGACCAGTGCTCTAACCACTGAGCTATAAGGCCTCACCTGGAGAACAGGTAGACAACCTGTCAGTTAAACATCACCTGCTGTGAGGACACGCCTCTTATTGTTCTGATACAGAAGTAGCTGCCAAACCAGCTGACTCTGAGCAGGATGTAAACTAGACTGAGCAGTCGTTCAAAGATATTCAACACGAGAACATCAACATTAATTATGACATGATTAATTAATTAATATGATTAATTAATATGATTAATTAATATGATTAATTATAACATCACAACTGCATGGATTAAAATACTGATGTCCTTCTGTGACGACTAAAGACCCACAGCTGCTAAAGTTCAATGGTTTGTGACGTCAAAATGCTTTTTAAAAGAAAAACTTGCTTTAAAATAACAAGTCACAGGCTGGAGGAGGAGGAGGAGGAGGAGGGAAGTGAAGGAGGAGGAGGGAAGTGAAGAGGAAGGAGGGAAGTGAAGGAGGAGGAGGGAAGTAAAGAAGATGGAGGAGGGAAGTGAATGAGGAGGAGGACGGAAGCAAAGAAGATGGAGGAGGAAGAGGAGGGAAGTGAAGAGGAAGGAGGGAAATAAAGAAGAAGGAGGAGGAGCAGGGAAGTAAAGAAGGAAGAAAGTGAAGGAGGAGGAGAACAGGAGCAAAGAAGGAGGAGGAGGGAAGTGAAGGAGGAGAAGGAGGAGGAGGGAAGTGAAGAACCAGCAGCAGCATGTTGGAGCGTGTGTCTTGACTTCTTTGAGAATCGTTTTCTGCAGGAAGTTCAGCTTGTTCTGCTCAAACCTTCTGTGTTTGGTTCGAGCAGAAAACTGCAGCAGTTTGTAAATTACAGAGTTTAAATGTTTGAGACGTTTTCTGAGTAGTTAGAAACAAGACAACGTCAGCGTTGCACAACATGACTCACAATCATGAACTGCACCATGAAGGGAGTCCAACCTTCAGTAATCATGAGAACCTGCATGACAAGCGTGCAGGAGCTTGGTGGTCTGTGTCGTCGTCCTGAGGTTGCAGGTTTGCTGTGTCACGTTGCACATCTGGCATAAATGAATGTTTCATGTGAGTTCAGTCGCTGCTGTGAGCTCTGCAGAACAGTCACTGAAAGACGTGCACGAGACGTTTGATTTGCTGAGCTCGACTCCAGGACAGTTTAGACTCGCTGGACTCAACGGTTCTTCGCCGTAACGTGGTGTCGTGACTCTGAATCGTCAACCAGCTGCGCACGTGTGAAAATGAGCGCTTCTGTTGACAGACTTGATCTTTCCTTAACCTGAAGTGTTTCCCAAACGTGCTCCTGTGAGTTTGTCTGGACTCATTTCAGAGGTTTGTCTTTATTTTTACAGAGTTGACAAGTTTTGCAGCCAAGAGACCAACAGAAGTTATCGAACCATAAATCTCTTTTTTTACCTTTATTCATCCAGGTAGTCTCATTGAGTCACGAGAACTCTTTTTCAAGAGAGACCTGTTTAGGAGCAGATGGTGGGGGTTGAGGACCTTGCTCATGGGCCCAGAGTGGGGCAAATGAGGGTGGAGGCAGGTGTGGGTGTTTCACCTTTTCCACCCACATTTTGATGTTGACTGTACCGGGAGTTGAACCTGCGACTTTCTGATCACAGGCCCATCTTCTAACCTCTGCGCCACCACTTCCTTTAAAAATGACGTTACTGATTTTCGTCCTGCGTTTTGTAAAGTTGCTCAGAAAAAAGTGATTTTGGGAACTCAATACTTTGAATGTGCAAAGTTAGGAGGGCTCCATACAGAGCCCTGAGGACGAACCGTGTTCACTAAAGTTGGAGAAACTGGAAACAGCTGCAGGACGTGTTGCTTGGAGAGCATCAGAAGCTACAAGATGTTTGCTAGGGGCGCACCGATCAGTTTTCTGGCCGATCACCTATTTCTAAAACGTCTGACCTGCCGATTCCGATTTTGTTTTCCAAGCGACACAGTCCGGAGTTATAAGCTCACAATGTACCTTTCAATTTGCCAATATTATTTTATTGAAAAACATACCCTTGAACAATATCCTAGAAACAATACAGACTTGTTTTAACTGGCCATGAGGTCGTGCTCTGAAATATAAATGAAGTTTAGACAATTGTTAAAACAAAACAAAAAATCGGTTTCTCGTGAAAGTATCGGCTGATTTCCGATTTCCCCAAATTAAGGAGATCTGGGCTGATAGCGCATTAGTTGTTTGCAGCTAAAATTATCGAGAGAAAAATCAATTAGGCCTCAGTGAGGTTTGAACTCACGACCCCTGGTTTACAAGACCAGTGCTCTAACCACTGAGCTATAAGGCCTCACCTGGAGAACAGGTAGACAACCTGTCAGTTAAACATCACCTGCTGTGAGGACACGCCTCTTATTGTTCTGATACAGACGTAGCTGCCAAACCAGCTGACTCTGAGCAGAACAAATTCAGTTTATTTATAAAGAACCAAGTCACAACAGAAGTCACCAATACTCTTTACCTTGTACATGCTTCCATCAGGTAAAGTTATTAAACAGCATGGGATAATATTCATTGTTATGCTGATGACACACAGTTATATTTGTCCATTAAACCCAATGAATCCAATCAGCTACTTAGACTACAAGCATGTCTTAAAGACATAAAAACCTGGATGACCCTTAATTTTCTCCTGTTGAACAGACAAGACTGAGGTTTTAGTTTTTGGACCTGAGCACCCTAGGAATGAATGTTTCAGTCTTTCTCCCTCCTTAGATGCATTAATGTGTCCTCCAGCTCTAATGTTAAAAATCTTGGTGTTATTTTTGATCAGGACATGTCTTTTATCCCCCACATTAAAAACGTTACTAGAACCTCCTTCTTCCACCTGCGTAATATCACTAACATTAGAAACATCTGATCTAAAGATGATGCAGAAAAACTGCTCCATGCATTTGTCACGTCTAGACTGGACTATTGCAATGGTTTATTATCTGGGTGTCCAAATACTTCTTTAAAACGTCTTCAGTTGATCCAAAATGCTGCTGCCAGAGTCTTAACTGGAGTTACTGGGAGAGATCATATCTCTCCAATTTTAGCTTCTCTCCATTGGCTCCCTGTCAAATCCAGAATAGAATTCAAAATCTGACTTCTAACCTACAAAGCTCTCAACAACCTAGCTCCATATTATATTACAGGTCTTATTCCATATTTTCCTAACAGAGCACTTCACTCTCAGACTGCAGGTTTACTTGTGGTTCCTAGAGTTTCCAAAAGCAGAACGGGAGGAAGATCTTCCAGTTCTCAGGCTCCTCTCTTGTGGAACCAACTTCCAGTTTCTGTCCATGAGGCTGACACATTGTCCAGTTTTAAAACTTTTCTTTTTGATAAATCCTATAGTTAGGGTTGGCTTGTCATGCTGCTATAGACTTAGACTACTAGAGGACAAACTGACCTAATTTCCTTAAATTAATTGTTAAAATTGAATAGTTTTCATTTGATACTATTTCTATCTTAACATGTGATTCTTGATCTGCCATTGTGTATCTGTTACTACCAAACCCAGCCGGTCGAAGCAGATGCCGCTTGCCCTGATCCTGGTTCTGCTAAAGGTTTCATCTTCATGAGGGAGTTTTTCTTTCCACTGTCGCCTTCATGCTTGTTCAAGATGAGAGTTCTGTGATGGAGTTAAACTCAAAGCTGCTCCTCAGATAAATAAAGTTAAATTATTATTTTATTCATGAATGTTTCTGTTCAGTGCCTGAGACGACTTCTGATGAGACTTGGTGCTTTATAAATAAACTGAATTGAATTCTCATCCGAGGTCCCTGAACAGAAACATTCATATAAAAATAGTAAGTTAATTATTTATCTGAGGAGCAGACTGCTTTGAACGTTGGGACCAAAACTGGTAGTTCTTCACTGCAGCGTGGAGCCGTTACCCTGAACCATCACCAGTCAGAATGGACATGTGGTGGTCGGACGATTTGTTCTGGGCTTTTTGATCATGAATTAAAAGTGACTCTCTCTTTGTGTTCGTTTTAGATCCTGTGTCTTCAGGAAGTGCAGGAGGACCACTATGAAAACCAGATTAAACCGGCTCTCCAGGCTCGAGGTACTTGTGTGTCTGCATGTCTGAAGTGTTGAACATATGTTGGAGTAACACAGATAAGTAAAGAAAATACAACATAACTATTCTATTTCCTGAACTCTTTCAACGTTCTTCACATGAACTTGTTGTAAAGTCCTTGTTTGGTCCCACCGTGGACACAAACACCGTGTGAACCTGTAGCTCAGATTAAAACTTGAGCCTCTAAACCACAGCTGTCGTCACAATTAGCCCAGACCTAAAGCAAGCAGTTTTTATTTTACTGCTTTAAACTAGAAGATCGTTTTACAAAACGAACATCATATAAAAACAAGTCTTGCACTCTGTTTAGTTCAATAAACAGATTACAAATACAGTTTTTATTTTGTAAAATAAGATTTTATTTTAATTGTTTTGAGCCTAAAGATGATAAAACTGACTCCAACTTTATAATAAAAGTTTGTTCTTTAATGTCAGAAATCTTCTACAGCTCAAATATATATATATATATATTGTGTTCATGATGGTTTATCTTAAGTTTAAGGTCTAAAGTTTGACTTTATACAATTCCTACATTTTTAACGTGTCTTTGTTGAGTTTTATTTTGTGCTTTTTTAATTGTTGGAGATGATCTTCTCTCCTGAACAGGATAGAAAATGGATGGTTGATGAAAAGACTCCTAACATTAATAATAATTTAAAAAAAATTACATTCTAAAAATACACAAATGATTAGTTAGTTTAATGAGCTGCATTTTATCTGACTGTGTGTGTGTGCGTGTGCGTGTGCGTGTGCGTGTGTGTGTGTGTGTGTGTGTGTGTGTGTGTGTTAGGTTATCAGTGTGAGTATAAGAAGCGGACAGGAAAAAAACCAGACGGTTGTGCCGTGGCCTTTAGGACTTCCTGCTTCTCCCTCGTCTCCTCCACTCCTGTCGAGTTCTTCCGGCCCGGCGATGGCCTTCTGGACCGGGACAACGTGGGCTTGGTGGTTCTGCTGCAGCCCAACAAAGACAGCAGCCAGTCCAACTCCTCCTCGTCCATCTGCGTTGCCAACACTCACCTCCTCTACAACCCTCGCCGCGGCGATATCAAACTGGCCCAGCTGGCGATCCTATTGGCTGAAATCAGCCGACTGTCCCGCCTCCCTGACGGCTCGACCAATCCAGTTGTGCTCTGTGGGGATTTGAACTCGGTGCCCTGGAGTCCACTGTACAGGTTCCTGACCACAGGCCGCCTGGAGTACCGAGGAATGCAGATCGGCATGGTGAGACTGAAAGGGTTCAGTTTCTGTCCAGGTGTGTTTGGAGCATTTAATTAAAGAAAACCTGCTTTTCCTGTTTTAGGTGTCGGGTCAAGAAACAAGTCCCAGGGGTCACCGTCCCCTCACATCTCCAATCTGGTCCCCCAGTTTAGGAATCAGTCGCCAGTGTCAGTATGAGAGCAGACCGCCTGATGAGTCGTCGTCCTCCAGCCCCACAGGTAAACCTCACCTGTCGGCCGTGTGAGCCCCCCTGGCCTGCTGCAGTGGAGTTCAAGTACAGCACGCTGTGCTCGTGTTTAACAACTGTCTGTGTGTTGAAGGAGGGATCTCTAATCTGACTGTGGAAGATCTTGCCTGCAAAGCTTCGGCTGCTGTTCACAGGTAACGTGTTAATGAGGTCTTTAGTTGAGATCAGTTTGTGAATTTATAAAATGATACAGATCAAAGTGAGAAGTAAAAACCTCAGTTAGAGCTGCTGCCTCAAGACGAGAAGGTTTCCCTCCTGTCTTTTTATGTGTGAAGTTTACACGTTCGCTCCGTGCACGGTGGGTTTCCTCTACAGCCCGACCGATATATCGTAGGTGTCGATATTTAGTCAGATGTAGGCGTTTGGGGACATATCAGTATCAGTGATAACTGGCCCATTATGCACTGGTATGAACACTGGGAATGGGCCGTGTCCTGACTTTCAAATGGTGTAATTGTACAACGTATCCAACAGAGGGCGCATGAAGACAACTTTCAAGTCCTGGCGTTCATTTTAGCTTTCACTTTCAGCACAGCTGAAGCAGAGAGCAACTAAATACTGTTAGTGTGTTTTGTTGAGCAGAGCGTGGTAAGTTTATTTTAACTGATCTATAAAATAAATCAACAATAATAAATTATCTTCAATCCTTCAACTCTCTTGTCATAAGCTACGTGCCTCTCAAGTTAGCAAGCTAAGGTTTAGATAACCTAGCATAGGGTATAAAACGTATCCAGAACAATAAATCTCACGTAACGGTAAAATATATCGGTGTTGGTAACGTTATCTTCGTCGTCCTCAGTGAAAAGCATTGTTTGTCTGAAATCTTTACTTTCCTACAAACAGAAATAAACTCAGCTGTGGTCGGTACTAATTAGACCTTCATCATACATGACTGACTGTTGAACAATGAACAGGAAGGACATTCCTTTTAATTTATAAACGACTGTTTCACGACTGTTCCTAGACTTCAAGTGTTAAAACAGATTTAAAAGTAGCTGTTTATTTACATTCTTGTTGGTGGACAAAGCAAAAAAATAATAAATCAGCCTCCCAATATCCGTATCGGCGATAGACGAACGTTACATACCAGCTGGGCTCTGGTTTTCTCTGGTAGTTTTGTCCACAGACCAGAACAGGCCGGTTTGGGTTTCTAATCAAGGTGTGGGTGTGAGAGTGGACGGCTGTTTCTCTCACTGTGTGCTTGTGGTGGACCTGCAATGTGTCCAGGGTGTCCCCCACCTCACAACTCTCCAACTTTATCTATTTGGGCAAAAGGGTTTCCATCTAAGTATGTTGTTTTTATTAAAAATATTTTTTGATTGAAAGTTGTAACTTAATTCAGAACGCAGTGTCGTTATAAACCAATTAATTCATCTCAGTTCACAGGCTCTAACCTTGTGTTTGTTTGTTTGTTTGTTTGTTTTTGTGTGTTTGTTTGCACAGCTCTAGGATTGAGCACAGCTTGAAGCTGCAGTCGTCTTACGAACATCGCCTGATGCATGATGGGCGGCCTGAGATCACCACGTGTCACTCGCGCACCGCCCTGACGGTGGACTACATCCTCTACAGCTCCGGTAATCACTCACGTCTGTTTTATCGCTCTCCTTTGAGTTTTTTTTTATTTTTTTTAGGTCTTTTTTCATATCATGCATAAATTAATAATACATTTCAATGATACGATAAAATACTGTCCCGTCAGTGGTTCAGAAGATATTTTGCTAACAAAGTGACCTCAACAGTTATGATCAGTGTTGGAGGGAATCTCTGTCGGCTGCCTTCACACCATGTTGTAGCCCAGTATCTTTAAGAATGACTGATTGAAGACTTGGCTGTGGCGGCCATTTTGAATAAGTTTGACCCAAACTACCATAAAGGAACCTCCAGAAAGGACTTTATGTCTCATGGTTCATGAGATAATTTAAAAAGCGTACACTTTTATTGGAAGCTGAAGTATTCTTTGTGTGATCCTGTAGACATTTTAGCTGCCTGTTTGTTTGTTTTTGTTTATTGCATTCTTATAATAGCTCAAAATGAGAGGAAAACAAAGTGCACGCGTCCTGATCGAGCTGCTCGTTTTCATGTGCATTTAGTCTGTGTGCACTTTTTTATGGCAGGCTACAATAAAACTAGAGAAAAGTATTTTTGCAAGAAACAAACAAAAAAAAAAAAAAGCAAGTGTGCATTGAAACTAACACGCTGTGAACACGCTGTGAACACGCGGTGAACACGCAAACTAACACGTGGTGAACACGCAAACTAACACGTGGTGAACACGCA